TAATGTTATTTATTGGTCCAGCGGTGAGGGTTGTTGTTTTCTTTACTTTGAGGTGCAAGCCATACTGAAGGCTGTGGTCTTTAATCTTCATCAGTATTATCTCTAGCATCATTCCTGTCACCAAGGCCATATTTTTCAACAACGAATCCTTCCTCTTTGTTTCCAACATTTGCATTCCGATTGCCTGCCAGTATTATTATCTTTTTGTAATCCATCCTTCTGCTCTGTCTCCTGACTGGTGCACTGGATCCATTTACATTCAGTGTAATTATTGGTAGGTGTGACTTGAATGTTGTCAATTGTTCTGTGGTATTTTTGTGGTGCTGCTCATTTGTTTCTGGGTTTTCCTTTTATTTTCATTTCTGGTCTGTTAATGTTTACTAAATCTTTCTGGTTTTCCTCTTTTATTTTGATGTGAAGGTTTGAGGACCAAGGTGCACCTGATCCAAGCCATGGTATTTTCACTTGACTCATGTATGTAAATATGAATAAGGAAAGTAATGGAAGAATTGATGCATTGGAGTTATGGTGTTGGAGGAGACTATTGAAAATACCACGGGCTGCCAAAAGAACCAACAGATCTGTGGTGGAAGAAGGCAGACAAAATATTTGTTGAAGCCAGGATGGCCAGACTTCATCTCTTATACTTCAGACATATTTTCAGGAGCTACCACACCCTGGATAAAGACATTATGCTTGGTAAAATGGAGGGTTGGAGACAACAATCCAATGAGATTGATTGGCACAGTGGCAGCAGCAGTGGGCTCAAGTGTAGCAGAGATTGTGAGATTGGTGTGTAGGACTGGACAGTGTTTTTTTCTGTTGTGTATAGGATTGCTATGATCTGGTACTGAGTTAATGGCGCCTAACAACAGCAACAACATTTGAGGGACAACTTTGCTAGGTATATCATTCATTGCAGTTTTTCTCTTTCAGAGAGTTTTAAGTCATCTCATTGCCTTCTTGTCTGCGTGGTGTCTGCTAAGAAATCTGAACTTGGTCTTATTAGTGGTTACTCTATAGTCTATTAACTTTTCCCTCCATTTAAAACAGTCTGTTTTATCTTGCAGTCTACCTGACCTCATCACCTGGATCTCTGTTCCTATGTTTTTACTTTCTTTTGCATTGTAATTGTTTTGATCATAAACTGACCTCCCATATCCTCTGAATTCTTTCTTACAGTTTTGTTCTGTTCTGGACTCTTCCATCTGACAATTGAATTCTGGGTAGTGCTGCCATGTATGTCAATCTCTGGTTGTTGTCTGTTATTGTTGGCTTTCAGTCCAAAGAACTCCCTTTAGGATGTTTTGAAGTGCTGGGTTGGCTTTGGCAAAATCCCTTAGCTTCTGTTTATCTGAGAATGTCTTTATTACACTGTTGTATTTGTTTGACAGCTTTGCTGGGTGGAAGATTCTTGGTCGGTAGTGGTTTTTCTTTCAGGGTTTTATATATATATCCCCATTGGCTTCTTGCCTGCATGTTTTCTACTGAGGGATCCAAACTTAATCTGATTTGCTTGCATTTGTAAGTAACACGTCTCTTTTCTCTAGCTGCTTTCAGGATTCTCTCCTTGTCTTTGATTATGGAGAGCTTGATTATGATATGTCTTGGTGATTTTCTTTTGGGATCTATCCTTCCTGGGGTTCACTGAGCTTCTTGAATGCTTATCTTTTCATTTTTCAAGATGTTAGCGAAATTTTCTTCCAGAAGCGCTTCAACTGTCTCCTCTGTGGATTTGTGTGATTCTTCCTGTTCCAGAGTGCCGATGATTTTTAAGTTATTCCTGTTCATATTGTCTAACATGTATCTTAGACTTTCTTTAGATTCTTTTTGTCCTGTTTTCTGCTTGCTCTTCTATCTTAGCAGTATTGAGAGACTTGTCTTCCAGCTTGCTGGTTGTGGCTCCCATCCCGTGATTTCTACTCCTTTGCCCTTTCAGTGTGTTGTCTAGTTCTGATATTTTCTTATTCATCATTTGGACCTCTTTTTGCAGGTTTTGAATTGTTTCCAATGTTGTATCTATCTTATTTAATTGTTCCTATAGCACTTTGCTGACTTCTTCCTTATTTCTTTCAAACCTTTTTTTGAGACTTTGGATGCACTTCTGTATCATTTTCCAGAATTCCTTCCCAGGCCATTCTAAGGCCTGCCCTCCTTCCAGTGGGAAGTCTGGGTCTACATCTAGTTCATTTGTGTCAGTTATGCTATTCTGTTTGTGAACATGTGCTGCAATGCTTGATTGTTTCTTGGGTATCTTCAATAATTAGGTTTTTCAGTAATTGAATGTAATCTGATGTTTTATTGAGGTTTCTGATTGCCTTCGGGTTGATGTGATCAGGAGACGGGCTTCCTTTTCCACTTTTCTTATTACTCAATGCAGGTGTTGGCTGTCTGTCAGGTGTCTGGCAGCTGGGATTGGCTCTTGCCTAGATGACGGTGTGATTGCTACTTGGCTATATGACCACAGTTGCTGTCTCTTCTTGGGTAAAGTAGGGAGAGAAAGAGGTCCCCTGAAGGTAAAAGGGCGACCAAAAAACAAAACAACAGCAAAAAACTAAAATAAAAACCAGATTTGGTTCTACAGTCTATAATTGTGTGAAAGAAAAAAAATCTGTAGCAAAATATGAGTATGACTTTAATGTCCCTTTCTTGCCTGGGTTGGGCAATTTTGGGAGGCCATTTGGGGAGAGCATTCTGTTTTAAGCAGTTCTTGGTGGCTTCTCTCACGCCCGCAATTCTGGACCCAGAAATTTTTGCTCAGCAGATCTATGTGCATTTGTAGTAGAACTCTCTGGAGGTTGCAGGGGATGGGGAGGTCCATTCTCTCAGGCACCCTCTCTAGTCACCAGAGTGGAGGTGCGTGTTCAGTGAGCGACCAGGGAACAGAAAAAGGAAAGGGAAAAAAAAGAATGCCCACACCTTTATCTCTGGTGATTGTCAAAAGTCTGGGGTCAGACTGCTTCTCTGACCTTTCTCCTGCTCTGTTACACCCAAGGTGGCCGCTCTGGGAGCTGGGTAGGCTCTGCAGATCAGAAAACAGTTTCTTGCGTCTGCTACAAATTCTACTGCCTGTAAGCCTTCGAGCTTTCTAAATGTCCCTTTATATGTAGTTCAGAGTTCTGGGACTGTCCCCTGAACTTGCTTCGTCCAGTGTTCTGTGCTGTTGCTGGCAGAGCTTTGCACTGCACGTCTCCCTAAACTGCCATTGAGCCCGCCTCCATGGTTCTCCTTTGTAGGTAACTTTTTGTTTTTCCAGAGCTGCTCTCAGCATTTTTTTATTGCTTTTGGTTTTGGAAAGTTTGGTTATATGTCTTGGTCATTTTCTTTTAGGATCTATACTGTTTGTGGCTCGTTCAGCTTCTTGTGTGTGCTTATCTTCTCATTTTTCATGATGTTAAGGAAGTTTTCTTTCAACAACTCTTTAACAAATTTCTCTGCTTTTCATTGTCTCTTCTTGTTCTGGAATCCCGATTACCCACAAATTATTCCACTTCATGGGGTCCCACATAACTTTTAGAATTTTTTTCAGATCTTTTCATTCTTTTTTCCTGATTGATCAAGCATACTAATATTAAGAGATTTATCTTCAAGCTCACTAATTCAGCCTTTCATTGATATGAATCTACTCTTTTGCTCTTTCAATGTAGTTTCCATTTCTGACATCTTAGTATTACTCTTACTGGATTTCTATTTGTAGGTTTTATATTGTGTTGAAGTTTGCATTTATTTGTTTGTATGAACTTGTAGTGTTTTCCTGAAGTTTTGTAAAAGCTATTTGTCTGTGTTCTCAATCTTTCTATCAATCCTTTGAAAGTATGTTAATATCATTCTTTTGAATTATTTTTCAGTTCCATTATATTTTCTTTCTCAGAAATATTTTCTGGCTCTGCCTCTTGGTCATTTATTTGAGCCATTGTCTCTTGTTTCTTCATGTGAGCTAATATTGTTTGTTGTCTCCAAAACATTGTGGTGTTGTAGTATTTGTATTTAATTGATGATTGTATGTTGATGTATTCTTGGGTGTAGTTAGAGAGAATGGAAGCGTGTGTACTATTCTCCATTAGCACACCTGTTTAAGGTGAGTTTGGTTGGTGTTGGCCGTTGTCTGTCATTGATTAGGTCATGTAGGAGCTGGTATTGGCTCTTGCTTAATGAGTAGAGCTGCAGGGAGTGTTTGTGGATGAGCTGTGTGGCATGGGTTTCTGTCTCCTGTTGGGTGGGAAACAGGAGAAACCCCTCCCCCAACACACACACAAGAAAACAGAAAAGAATAAACAAACAAGCAACCAACACTAAAAAGAAATAATAAAGGAGAAAAAATAAAAACATGCAGCAACCATGAAAAAAAAAGTAAATACAAAAACTAAAAAAAGAAAAGAGGAACTAGAAAATGGAGTTACAGAGAGAAAAATAAGAGAAAATAAAGGCAGAAATTAAAAAAGAAATCTGGGAAAGGGAAGATGAAAAGAGAAACTGTAGAAGTAATAAAGATGAAAAGAAAAAAGGGGAAATTAGGAACAGAAGAAAAGGAAAAACAAAAGCAGAGACAAGAAGGACAAAATTAAAAGGACTGGAAGGATGAAGAAGGAGAAGAAAGAATAAAAGCAATGAAACAGTTAAAGGAAAAACCAAAAAACCCAGTACAAAGGCAGAGTTCCTGGCTGTCGATGGAGTTCCTATAGGCGTAAATGTTATCTCTTTGTTCAAGACACTCAATCAAGAAGGAGTTCTCAGAGGCACTTGATGGAGCAGGTTTCAGTGTCTGTTAGGGTTACAGAGCAGGTGGGGAGGGATGACTGTTTATTAGGGTTTCTGCTAGACTGACGGTGGAATCCTGGTGTGGTTCACACCCACCAACTGTTCCTTGAAAACCCTGTACGGGGGGTTAGTATGAGTTAGAAACGACTCTACAGCACCTATCAACAGTAGTGTTCATCAGGTGGCTCTGCGGATTTTGTAGGTCTGGATCCAGACTTGAATCCGGGCATCAAAATGGTACCATGGCTCCCACCCAGGTGTCCCTGAACTCCCAGGGTGCAGGGTCTATGCTGGGGGTGATTGGGTCCAATGAGGGTGGGAACTGGCCAAATCTCTGGTCACCAAGGGATTGTGGGGATAAAGAGGGAATTGCACCTTTACTATTGCCTGTGGACCGTCGTTTTCCAAATCTATTCCCGAAAGTTCAAGGTTGTTGCACCACATGTGGCCTGCCAATCAGCAGTCAGTCTTTTGTGCTGTTCTGTTTAGCTTCTGCTCCCAGCAAACACTCAGTCCACGTCTTAACCTTCCTTCTGAAGTTCAGGGTCCCAGGATTTTCATCTGTGTCTATTTCACTTGGTCTCTCAAGTCTTTGGTATAGAGGGTCTGTTTAGTGTGTCTGCCTACTTTACCATCTTGCCTTGGTATTTTTACTCACTGCATGTGCTTGTGGAGGCCTGGTGTGGCGCTGTGGGTTAATGCGCTAGACTGCAAAGCCGTTTGAACTGCAAGGTCAGTGGTTCAAGCTCACCAGCTGTTCCTCGGAAACTCTATATAAGTTCGCTATGGGTCGGAACCGACTCTACAGCACTTAACAACAACAACCTATGTATGTGAAAGCTGGACAGTGAATAAGGAAGAATGGAGACAAATCCAAATGGATGCATTTGACTTAGAGTGTTGGCAAAGAATCTCAAAAATTTCATGGACTTCCAGAAGAACCAATCCATCTGTCTTGGAAGAAAGTACAAAGCAAATGCCCTTTAGAAGTGGGGATGGCGAGGCTTTGTCTTACGAACTTTGGACATGGTATCAGGAGGGACCGCTCCCTGGCGAAGGTCATCTTGCTTGGTAAATGATAAAGAGGAAGACCCCCAATAACATGGATTGGCACAGTGGCTGCAACAATGGGCACAAAGCTAACAGTTATGAGGATGAAGCAGGATTAGGCAGTGTTTGGTGCGTACGGTCACCGTGAGTCAAGCTGACTCGATGACAGTAACTGGGTTTTTCAGGGTTGGGAATGACTGGTGTGGCGGTTCGTCATTCAGGACAGCTTTGCAGCCATGCCTGCTGACAAGCCTCTGGTGGCTCTCGGCCTCTTAACCCCTTGACCCATGTTCCAGCATCAGCCCTGTATTGGTGTGAGTTACAAAGTTCTTTTTAGCTCTGCCACTAAGCCTGGCTGTGGGCTGGGACGTCATTGTGCCATCTCATGTTGGTCTCCTGGCTTTGCCGCTGTTGTGTCTTTGCTGCGGCTTCTTGTTTGGTCCTATGGTTCCTGCTAGACAATTTGCTGCTGCTGCTGCAGGAAAAAAACATGGACATGTTTTTAGCAGGCGTGACATCAATTTTGAAGTATGGCATGGCTGTGGGTATAAATAACATTGCTTATCACAACCAAAAGTTGCAAATAGTCTAAAATATCAAACAGAAAGAAAATTGGTTTAAAAAAAAATGAATGCTAATATGAATGAGTGCTCGTAAATAATAGTAAGTGTAAAAAGCAGGCAACAAAACACATATAATATGATTTCGATTTTGTCAAAATTTTAGAGCTAAAAAAAAGTTATAGGAAACACACTAAAATTGTAACAGCTCACTTCTGGATGGTGGTATTTTACATATATTTTCCTGTCTATTTTTCAGAATTTTCTGAAGTTATTGCAGTGAACATATATAGCTTTCATTGTCAGAATAAAAGAATTCATGTTTTAAAATACCATGACCTGTCACCAAGAAGGGCTACAGCGCTGCACCTGGGGATTGGCAGCTCCCAGCACTCCTGGCGTTGTGGATCCCATGGTGGGAAATGACCTTGTCTGACTGCCTCTGTGTTTTTCACAGCACAAGAGAAAACGTCGCTCCACACCGTTAAGTTCTTCCACTCTTCCTCCACAAGCCACAGAAAACAGCTCCCACCTGCAGGCTACAGAGATCTCTCTGTGGACCTTGGTGGCCGCCATCCAGGCGGTGGAGAAGAAGATGGAGTCCCAGGCTGCCCGGCTCCAGAGCCTGGAGGGGCGCACGAGGACGAGTGAGAAGAAGCTGGCCGACTGCGAGAAGACGGCCGTGGAGTTCGGGAACCACATGGAGAGCAAGTGGGCCGTGCTGGGGACGTTGCTGCAGGAGTACGGGCTGCTGCAGCGGAGGCTGGAGAACATGGAGAACCTGCTGAGGAATAGAAACTTCTGGATCCTGCGGCTGCCCCCGGGCAGCAATGGAGAAGTCCCCAAGGTCAGCCCTGGGGTTAACAGGGAGGCAAGGAGGAACGCCAAGCCAACTGCTGCCCTTTACCTCCTGGCTATGGTGAGAGGTACTCACCCTGTGGCATATGTGATTCTAGGTGGCCCGCTCACTGGAGGAGGATGGAGTCTGTCTTTCCAAGCAGGAGTGGGAGAACCTGGAGGACTGGCAGAGGGAGCTTTACAGAAACGTGATGACAAGCAATTATGAGACGCTCGTGTCGCTGAGTAAGTCATTTCCCTCGGATGCCCTACTGTAGCTAATCATGTAGATTCTAGAATGGGAGGTTCCGTGCACTGTTTGGGTCCTCGGTTGGCCGGTGCAGGGTTGAGAAGGGGCAGTACCATGTCCTCCCATGTCAGAGATGTTGGGGATGGTCTCCGTGCAATTTGTGCCATTTAGCTTTGAGATGAAGACTAAGAATCGGGCTCTGGCTCCTATGAGGTGGAGGTCAGACATGACCTGTACTCTCCAGTTTCTTCAGCATTTCTGACCCTAACCTTGCCCCAGTTGAGGTTGATCATTTTTGTAATTGCCACACAGATGTCATAGACCATGCTCACAGGAGTCCTGGTATGGACTGCTTATCGCAAGGCCCACTGTTCAAGCCCTATACAGGGTCGCTGTGAGTCGCAGCCGACTTCACAGCACCTAACAATAGCAATAGTGAGAACGTAACTACATCTCAAGATCAGGATCATTTTGGAAGTACCTTGCTGTGGATAACTTGGGTTCAGGATCAGGAAGCATGTAGACAAGGTCTGGAAGACTTCTGAACTGCTGGAGAGCACATGCCTCCCTTCCTCAGGCAGGACAGCTTCTGGCCAGGTTAGCGCTCCTAGCTGCCCCTCTCAGCCATTCCGGACTCTCTGTTGCTAACTGGCCCAGCTCACAGCCATAGTGGGAACTGGCTCAGTTTTCTTGGCTGCGCTCTCCTAACTACAGCTCTTGTCATTTCCCAGACTCCCTGCCCAGCCTCTCCCTGTTACTGAGCCCCCTTCTGTGCCTCTTGCTCTGGCTGACCTCCAGACTCCTCACCATCGTCAGTGTTGTAGCCCTTATCCTGGACCCTTATTGCAGCTCTTTGAAGGTCTCCCTCCCAGGAACTCTGGGTTCAGACTGTTCTGCTCCAAGCTCTTTCTGGAGCTTCCATCCTTGCCTCTCTTCTCTCTCTTTGCTTCTAAAAATCACTGTGGGCTTGGCCGCCCTATATAAGCAAACTCATGTCAATTTCAAGGCATGTATTTCCTAGCAGGATCACAAACCGACCAATCTCCGTGGTAAGCCACAAGCCACTCATTCCTATTGGGTAGATTTTCAAACCACAATTTGAATAGTAAACGAACCAACCTCTTGTAAGCTGGTGGTGCAGCCATTCCTTATGTTAGAATCACAAACCCATGAGATGTCAGTCAACTTCGGTCTTAACACAAAAGTTACTTCCCTAGACAAAAGGCACACCGCCACTTGTAAAGAGCAAACTGAGGGCCCCCCCCCCCAGTAGTTTTTTCCAGATAGTGTAACAATTGCAGAGGGCTGATTGGGAAATCTCCCCAGTTGTTTTTGCTAAGAGCCGTGGCGAAAGGGCACACGGAGGAACTCAGCGCAGCACAGTGCTCGCTCCCTGTCTGGGCCCCATCATCCTTGATGACTTTCCCAATAGAAAAGATGTCATGTGCATAGGCTGTAGTCTCATGTGACTGGCTTCCTCAGGCTGCACTTTATACTGAAGAGCAGTTAACAAAAAGTCACGTGTTCCTTGGCATGAGGCAGACACCACAGGCTAAACAAAATCTTCTCCTTGCGTTTGGCAGAGTTCAGCCAATCATTTGTCTTGTGTTTGTTTCATGTTAGAAGTGCTGCTGGAAGACATATGTCTTTATCTGTAAGATATTAACTATGACAGAATCTGCACACTTTGTTTGGTTAGGTACATCTTTCAAAACCTAGGTCTGTGGAGAAATAACAAGAAGGCCAGTGTGCGAGGAGCCAGCCTGAGGCGAGAGGCTGCCTGGCCTGGGCTCGATCTTCTTCTTGGGCCTGGCTTCTGGGTGTGACCGGGAGGTGTAGGTGTCTGCCTTACCTTGCAGTGCCTTCGCAGGGATGGAGCTGGGTACCCTGAAGGAAAGCACTGTTCAAACCTCAGCACATGACCTTTGAAAGACGCTGGGCTCTGGGCTGCCTGAGGCTCTGAAGGACAAGTGAGCAAAGGCAGAAGAGGGTTAGCCAGATGACCAGAAGGGACCATTCTTTTCTAATTGTGCCAAATTATCAAGGAGCCCTGGTGACTTAGTGGGTTAAATGTTGGCCTGCTATCCTAAAGGTCTGTGGTTCAAACCCACCAGCCATTCTGGGAGAAAACTGTGGCTTCTATAAAGCTTTACTGCCTTGGAAACCGGAAGGAGCCACCCTCCTCTGTTTTGTAGAGTCTCTGTGAGTCAGAGTCACCTCAGTGGTAGTGGGTTTGGTTCTTTGTTCTTTGTTTTGGTTTGTCCAGGACACAAGGACAGTGGCCTTGGACTCATGCTCTTTAGGCACTGCCCATTGGCCCCTGACTAGTGCCCACGAGTCTCTAGGCTCAGACTCTGCCGTTTCCACCCAGAGGTTCTTGGCCAGCCCGAAGGAGAAGTAGAGTTGGCTACAGAGATGCTAGGTGGCTTGGAAGAGGATGGCGCTGGCATTGCCCACCCAGGTGAGTGGCTCCGGAGTAATGCACCCCTTTTCAACCTGTGAGAAACGTTGTTGATACCCACAAATGCCCAGGAACCCCCCCGTCTACTCATTTTAGCAAGAGTGAGCTTTTCTTTATTTGATTTTGCAAAATTGGGCACCCGACCCAGTAGACACAGGCAGACGTGAGCGTGGCCGGTTCGCAAAGCTTTATTCCCATTTTCCCTCCTCCAGTTAGGATGGCGCCCATGGTCTTTATGACTGGCTTCTTATCTGAAGTTCCGAGTCCTAGAACAGATTTCTCTTCCTCCTCACTGCTCACATAATAACCCTTGGGTGTCGATCAACATCCTATGTCTGGCTTGATCCCTGAAGACGGACTGACTTGAGAATTTCTCACACGGCTGCCTGCTGCTGACTGTGGGCCTTCCCCTGTGGCACTATCGTGTTCTGAATGCTAGGGTTCTCCTTCATGGGCCGCTCTGTGTGCAGCTCAGCTGCTTGCCACTCTTTGGGGCCTGAGATGGCAGAAGGTCATACCGTCGGTGTCATGCACGTGACAGGTGTCAGCTAGAGCTTCCCATCGAGGGCTGATGCTGCCTGAGTGAACTGCTGGTGCGCCTTGGTTGTAGTCATCATATTAGCGTCACGCTTCCATGTTAGTACAGGTAGTAGGATGCACTTTGCCATAGCTCACAGGGATTATGTGCACTGGGAGAACCCCAGGAGAACCGTCTGTGTTTGCCATGTTCTTTGAGTTCTGGTGTGGCGCTGTAGGATAAACACTGGACTGTTATCCGCATGGTCAGCAGTTCAACCCCACTAGCTGTTCCTTGGAGACTTTATACAGGGTTGCTGTGAGTCAGAAGTGACTTGATGGCACCTCACAACAACATGAGATGATAGGTTCGGGGGTGCTTGAGCACAGGTCTCACAGGCTGGCCAGCACCCCCCACCCCCACCCCCGCCGGGATTGCCCTGACCTGTCATCTGGGTATTTTGCTTTGAGCCCTTTTAGACGCATGGATGTCTGCTCATCTTCCCTTGTGGTCTCTCCCTCAGCAGACAGGGCCATGATCAAGCAGGAAGCACAGAGCGAGCAGGAACGTCTTGAGGATCTTTCCGGAGTGTTCCCAGGCACGGCTGGAGAGCCAGCTCTGCCGAGCCCAGAGCAGGCGTGTCTCTGGGGTGGTCAGGGCAACTCTGTCTTCACTGAGTCAGACCCCGGGGGCCTGGAGGATGAGGAGCCCGCTGACGGAAGTGGAGAGGCCAGTAGCGGCAGGACTCCAGGTGGCTGCCTTCAGCAGGCACCACTGAGTCAGGAGGGGAGGCCCTATGGGTGTTCTGAGTGTGGGGTCAGCTTCCGTAGCAAGCAGCACCTAGCCACCCACCAGCGGACACACTCGGGGTGGGCGTCTCACACAGACCCAGAGCCTGGGGAGAAGCTTCGGCCCAGGCCTCGACTCAAGCCACAGGCCAGGAAGGCCCGGCTGCATCAGTGTGGCGTGTGCCTGCGGAGCTTCAGCTGCAAGGTGAGTCTGGCCACCCACCAGCGCTGCCACCAGCAGGAGGGGCCTGGGCCTGGCCCACAAGCCCAGGAGAGGTTCTCACCCAACAGCCTGGTGGCCCTGCCGGGTCACATCCCTTGGCGGAAAAGCCGGAGCGCCCTCATCTGTGGCTTCTGTGGTAAGGGCTTCAGCCACCCATCTGACCTGGTGCGGCACCAACGCATCCACACGGGCGAGCGGCCGTACCGCTGCTCGGAGTGCGACAAGAGCTTCGTCCAGAAACAGCATCTCCTGCAGCACCAGAAGACCCACCAGCGCAAGAGGGGCGCAGCAGCCCTGGAGCCGGGGAGGCCCAAAGCTCTGCTCCCCGAAGAACCACCACAGTCCTGAGGGTAGCTGGGCAGGCAGCCATGTCTCCAGGGCTCGGCCTTCCTGCAGGGCTGAGTGGAGAGAGGAGCTCTGGGAAGCCTGCCTTTTTCTCTCATGTCTGTCAACACGCAGGAGGAGGCAGTGTTGCTGAGATACAAGGCAACACTGTTGTTTTTTTTAAATTTCAAGATATTTTAGATGCTGTTCCTGATGTGGGGACTGGGCCTACCCTCTAGGAGGGGACAGTTTGTGGGGCTCCCGGAGCCCACATGTAGGTGAGAGAGTAGTGGTCACTTGTCAGGGGAGGTCAGTGTCTCAAGGAAGAGAGGAGGTGGCTATGGTGCCTGCCGCTGCTTCTCATGGACTCAGACTCCTCCCTATCCCCCCTCTGCTGGTCTAGCCCCGTCCTGGCTACAGCCTGGGAGAAGGGTCCGAGGCCCCTGTTATATTTGGTGGTTCTAATTGCAGTTTCCAGAATGATAATGAAAAGATACACGGCGGCTTGTGTGGGGAGTGGGGCTGGGCTCCTTTGGCTTGGTGACTGTCCATTTGAATAAACTTGTGGACAAGCAAAACTGTGTGCCTGTTGGGTGTTTTTAACATTCTTCACTACTGGACCAAGGTGGAGGAGGGCCTGCAACCCATAGAGCTTGCTTCTGTCTCTTGAGCCCGGGACAGTGGGAAGGCCGGACCCTGTTACGCTGTGACCCTGGACAATCTCAGTGCCGCCTACACAGGGAGCTCGAGAGACTGCTGAGATATGGGGTCAGGTAGTAGGTAGAAACACTGGCTGAGATACCCACGAGGCTGTGGGAATCAACCTTAGACACACCACCCAGTTAGTGTAAGACACCGTGAGACCTCTGATACAGCTGTGGTAACTGAGAAGTAGTGGTGGTCATAACACGCGTGCGCACGTTAGTGATGGATGGCAGGGACCCCGGCTGGCCGGAGGGTGGTCCACTGGCATGTCACAGCCCCTAGGTGCCTCGGGCCCAGGGAGACCTGCTAGGCTGGATCCTTCTGACTAGACTGAAATCTACACACATGGAAGACTCAATGCCGAGCATTTTTGTCTCATCTACCCTGTTACTGTCCTTTCTGTTCCACAGTTAGGGTCCTCCTTGTCACTTATTGGGAATCCTCAGGGACCTGTTTTCCTGAACCCTAAATGCGTGTCTTTCCTACCAGTTACTGTCACCTGATTGTCTCCATTGCCACTGCTGGACCCACGCTTCCCCCCAACACTTCTGCTTCCCGTCTGCCCTGCTCCGCTTGTCCAGTCTTACTTAGTGACCACTGAAGTCGCTTCTGAAGCTTCCCTCAGCCCCTGTCATTTATAAAGTCAGTAACAACACAGGTCTTTACCCATGTTGGTTGCATTTCATGAGACTCTCTCTTCTCTGTGACCACACAGACCTTTCCAGGCCAGTGCAGTATCCTGTTCTGCCCCAGAATCCCCAAACACCCAGCACCCACTGGGCTGTTGAGGGAATCTAGCCAAGTAGACAGTTACGTGTTTTGAGGCTAAGGGCTAACAACAATCGGAGAACAGTTGTTTAAGATGTGGGGCGTTAAGGAAGACATCAGGGAGGTCTTTATGAGAGATGCCATTTGAACTTCAGGACGGGGAAAGACATTCTAAATGGGGCATCATGACCAAAACGGGACACACTCTGTCCAAGGGTGGAGTGTGAGGGGGAGTCATGGAAGACAGTAAGCAGGAGGGGGTCAGGCGAAGGAGTCGGGGTTGTACTTCGTGGGTAATGGAGCGCTGAAGACACCAGTTCCCAGGGCAGGGTCAACAGGAGGCAACACTCTGGGAAGGCAGGACCCCCACAGCATGGAGCAGGACACTGAGCACGAAGGTGCTCACCAATGGACCGCTGACTGGACACGTGTGGAGCATTCACAGAACGGGCTCAGTGTTGTGTGAGGTGGGGCGGTTCATGGGGACGCTGGCCTAGCTGTATGTAGTTCTCATCTCCCTCTGCTAACACCTCCTCTCCTAGAATCCACTACCTACTCCAGATTCCTCACCTGGATGGGCAGGTGTGGGACAGCAGGGACGCGCCTTCTAAACTGCCCTGGTATGAGGACACTGATAGGGGACAAGAGCACATGAATACCTGGAGCCCCCTGGGGTGGTCCTCTCCCTCTGAGGACCTGCTGCAGCAGTCTGACAAGCCCTGTTTCTCCAGGGCCAGGAGCCCCACTGGAGGCCGGTTCACCTGGGAGCATTGAGGCCCTGGAGTGCTGATCCCACACAGAGCGCATGAGGAGAGTGTCCTTCACGTTAGAGGTCCACCGGGCCTGCTACCAGGCTGGTTGGCTCAGGGAGCGAAATCATGGTGTCAGGGACAAGTTAGAACCCCTGGGTTCTGGGGTCCCAATGCAACCCCGCTTTGCCCTGAAAGAGGGTATGATAACATTGAGAATAGCCTGGAGACAGAGATAACAGTATCAGAACTGAAAACCCATGAAGATTGCATCTAAATCTGACAAAGAAACCTGTGCCCCTTTACTGAAAAAAAAAAAATGACTATTCAACACACTCCTCCTAGTTCATATGTGTTAGCCCACCCTTAGAGGAAGAGACCCCATACCTTTATAAGCCAGAGCACCCCAACCCCAAAAGGTGTTCTCCACTCAAAGACACTCGCTTCTCTCTCTCAAGCACACTTTTGCTTTGCAATAAAGAGCATCTAAGTGAATGCTTGGACATATTGTCCGGAGGAAACAGTCTCTGGAGAAGGATGTCATGCTGGGTAAGGTGGAGGGTCAGAGAAAAAGAGGAAGACCCCTAACGAGATGGATTGACCAGGTGGCATCATTGATGGACTCAAGTGTGGCAGCGGTAGTGAGGTTGGCCCAGGATTGGACATTGTTTCGTTCTGCTGTGCATGGGGTCGCTATGAGTCGGTTCCGACTTGATGGCACCTCACAACAACAACAACAAAGTGAATGCTTAAGGAGCTCTGGTAGTGTAGTGGTTAGGAGTCTGGCTGACAACCTCAAGGTCAGCAATTTGATACTACCAGCTGTTCCGCGGGAGAAAGATGAGGCTTTCTGTTCCTATAGAGATTTACAGCCTTGGAAACCCTGTGCAGGGTCACTATGAGTTGGAACCAACTCCTTATTATTCATGCGAGACTGAGGAGAAGCGGCAACTGGATGGGTCTAATTCTTTAGACCCCCTGAGAGAGAGAGGGACCAGGGAAAAACCTAACAAAGGTGTAAAATTTTTGGGTTTTAATTATAAAACCAGAGTATGGGAAGCAGCTGAGGGAGCCTGCTGGCTAGGTCAGTGCTCCTCAAAGTGTGATCTGCAGACCTCTACCATCAGAAGCACCTGGGGACTAACTAGAAATGCAAATTTTCACGCCACCTTCTTAGCACAGCACGCCGTTGTGTATAGTTGGTTCCAACTCACAAGAGACCGTAGAGGGTTTTTGGAGAGCAGCTGGTGGATTTGAACTGCAGACCTTGTGGTTACCAGTCCAGTGCTTATCCTACAGCGCTACACCAGGCTTCTGCCAGTACTTTATGCACCGCTAAGTTGGTTCTGACTCAGTGATCCTGTATGGACTTTCTGAAGCTGTAACTTTGCAGGAGCAAGTAGTGGGCTCAAACCTCCGACCTTGTGGTTTGCAGTCCAGTGCTTATCCTACAGAGCTACCGAACTAGTACTTTATATAGTCCTTAATCTATGCAAAGGAGCCCTGTGATGCAGTGGGTTAAGTGGGTTGCTAACTGAAAAGTCAGCGGTTCAAATCCACCAACTGCTCAACAGGAAACAGATGAAGAGTCTGTGTGCCGCGGTGAAGATTTTCAGTCTCAGAAACCCTTAGGGAGCAGTTCTACTGATGAGTCACAGCCAACTGGGGCAGAATTGATGGCTTCCAGGTACCTTTAATGTCTTCAACACACATCTGCAAGTTGTTGCTCAGATTGAGTTACTTCAACAAGGACTTCCATAATATTGACTTGCTTTTTATCACCTTCCTAACATGGCCCCAAATTCTAGCGGTGTACCCCACTTGGAAAGAGGGTCTGTTTCTTTACTTATTCTGTTAGTTGAACACACTTTTGCTTGAATTCACTATTTGTCTCTGCAAACAAAACATTGCAATATGGGAAGAATTTGTGCAAAGAGCAGGCACATGGGAAATGCAGAGACAAAAAGAAACACTCCCAGCCATTAGTTCTGGGTTTGGAGAGTGAGCACGGCTCCAGACCAGGGATGAACCGGCTTGCTAGGTTCTTCAGGTGCCCGGGGACTGAACTGGGGGTGGGGTGGGAAGACGGGCCTGGATGGGACCCAGAGGAGGCCCCGGGGCAAGAGGAGATGAGGTTTGTTTTAAATCAGTTTTTTTCTGAGGTCTTGCCATTTGTTCTGGAAAACTAAAAAAAGTTTTAAAACGTTTCTCGTTCCCTGAGCACATAGTGTATACACGATCTCATCCAAACTAGTTCTGTCAAAGGCGCTCCAGCATCAAGTCTGACACACAGGGGTACCCCTGCCCTTCTGGGCGCCTTCATCGCCTTTAGGGCGCCGGGAACGAGGTCTTTGGCCCTTTCCTCGGACCCAGACCCCGGAGGGAGATCAGGGCCGGACCGTGGTCTGCGGGCTGTCCCCGGTGTCCACTGTCGCGAAGGTTGGGGTGCCGGGTTCTTGTTCCTGGAGACCCCTACCACCTACAAGACTGCAGGGCAGAGTGGGCCGCGGCGTCTGTCGCTGGTAGTGAACGGGGGGG